TCCGGCGTGACCTCGGACTGTCTGTGTCTCTGTCTGGGTGACGTGCTCGATCCTCCCAACACAGAGTATCATAATTTTGGGCCGGCGGTGTGTGCAATTTATACTTCTTCGGAATGGAACAAAGAAACGATTAACTTAGTGTCCAAGATCCTTTTCCTGGCGTGGAATGACAAAAAACTGTTGTTGGTTGGTGTTTGGTCCGAAGGACTTTTATCGAATAACCACTTCTCCTTAAGCCGTTTATACGCGGCCAATTCTATTGATACTGTTACTAGTACTAACACTACTACTTACACAACTAGCATTTCTACTTCCACTACTATTGCTGCAGTTACCACTAATACTACTACTATTACGGCTATCGTTATTAATACTACCACAGCTACTAATACTTTTACCAATACTACTATTACTACTATTAACGCCACTAGTACTACTTCTTACTTTATTACTACCAACACTTTGGCCAGAGACCAGTATATTGTTGTCTGTGTCGAACGCATGTCTTGCATGTTGCCAATTCGACGTTCCCGAGAAACTGGTAGTCCTCGTAACCGTTTACGCACGAGATACCCTACTGAGGCTTGTGTTGAACTAGTTTGTGGGCTTGTGCTCTTATCCTGAAAATGGCTCCTGGTCATTAATAAAGTTCACTTACAGCCACCGCGTTGTTTTTCTACTTCAGTTAAGTCCCTTTCCTTGCATCTCAAAAGCATCTCTTGCTGAATACTGTCTTTTTAAAATTCTTTTGGCGCTTTATTCTGCTATTCTCAACCCGCCAGGCAGATGCTCTCGTACCACCTGTCCATATCTTGCTTGTATGGAAACACAGCGTAGCGGTATCTGTTTCGGATTGTGAGGTTTGGCCTTCTCTCTTGGCTGAGGAATCAGGACTCTATCGATGTCTTGAGTGCATTTTCCACGCTCTGTCTGTCCTTCTTGCTTCATTCTCTTCCGTTCAGTACCGGACTTAGTGTCTGCTTTTTTAAACCCCGCTTGAAGGCTGACCGAAGAACAGATCGCCACCATCTGCCTGCCGGTGCTGACTGCACTCGCCTACCTCCATGACCACGGCGTGATCCATCGGGACGTGAAGTCCGACTCCGTCCTCCTTTCCGCCAAAGGCATCGTCAAGCTCTCCGACTTCGGCTTCTGCGCCAAGGTAAGGTCCCTAGCTTGCCGCTCCCCTCCGTCACCTGCCAGTATTATATTATTTGGTCTCATGCGGACCTCCTTCATACTCATGAGGGTTTTCGCTCTGTCGCAAGTGATAATGTCAACAAGAAGAAGGTTCTTCAAATCACGAGTTAGGGAAGACAAAGTTGGTAGGAAGAGCTTTACTGCAAGAAGATGAACTGTACAAAGTCTGTGCGACGAGACATTAGGAAAAACTTGTGTTGGATTGGCCTTTATTCTCTCTGACTCTTGGTTGTTTTGTTGCTACTCTGGAAATGGGCTTCAGTAGGAGTTTGACTGCTCAGTTGAATGAGGAAACGATTCCGGTAATCGCTACGCGAAAGTTGGAATTGATTCCGATTGTCGTCGTGAAGGAAGCATGAAGATTGCATTTCGAAATCCCGTCTACTCATTAAAGGCGTACAGCGACCAGCCCGCGCACAGTACTTTATAGAAGCAGTTTACACGCAAAGGATAACATTTAACTCATATAATCTGTTCTATGTTGTCATAGTGATTCTCTGTCCTTTACTTCACTCGCGTCCTTAAGTGAGACTGGTAAACTCATGTATTTGCTTGTCGTTGTTTTACTTTCTGTGTTCCGAGTTACCTCAGATTCCTGTGTACAGTTTGTTACCTCTTTGTTTTATGCGTCGTAGATGTCAAGAATTATTTGCCAGCTGTGCATTTTATATTTTACGAAGTGCGTGTGCTGTAATGAGAGCAAACTTGTGCACACTTAAATTACTGAAGCGTTTCGCTGGGGAATACTCACTCCCCCATCCCTCTTCCCCCCCTCACGCCACTGAATGGGAACTACGCCGCAAAGGCGTATTCTGATGGGGATTTTTAAAAACTGAGCACCTTCAGTGGTTTTTTTTCTTATCACCACTTTCCCTGGCACCGCGACTGAATGATTCGGCCCAAGAAAAGGCGGGGGGAGGGAGCGAGTTGGAGATGAGAGCACGATAGGTGAATGCGATGGTTTCTTCGCCAGTCGGCAAGTGCAAAAAGGAGGACTGTGAGGACGGAAATCACACAACCAAAAGTACTCCTCTTTGGCGCCGGAGGACTTCGCTGGCGCTCGTTCTAAGCATGGGGGCAGGGAGGGGGAGGGGAGGGTTGCAACGTGTGTTCTTGTGATGCACACTTAGTCGGAAATAACTCATTCACTTCCGCCGCGCAAACTGCATGGAATCTTTTTTTAACTTCCTTGTGTGGAGCAGGAGAGAAATCTCTTTCATCGCAATCGCACCTACCCAGCACCTCCCCCCTCCCTCTGAAGCAGAAAGCGTCGCTCGTGTTGTTTGCGAAGTTGGATCTTTGTAGATCTCCCGACCTCTCCCGTCCTTGCCATCTTTCCTCCAGTCGGGGCGGCTGGCGGGCTTTTTGCAAACTTTAAAGGGTATTCGTATGCCCACCGGGATGTATCGATTGCCGAAAGATCTGTGCGTGTGATAAAGATATTTTCTTTTAACTCCCCCCTCCTACTCGTATTCCTTTGCATTCTGCCATTCCTGCAGGTCTCCGCGGAAAGTCCTCGTCGACGGAGCCTAGTGGGTACGCCCTACTGGATGGCACCCGAGGTGATTGCTCGAATACCCTACTTCACTGCGGCTGACGTCTGGTCCTTCGGTGTACTCATAATTGAGATGGTCGAAGGCGAACCCAACCTCTTTGACGACCCGCCCTCTGTTGCCATGGAACGCATCAAGAAGTCCTTTACTCCCCATCTCCGGTTTCCCCAGATGGTAAGTATCCTTGCGTCTAAGAAGTAGAAGACGACTCGATCGCCGGGACAGTATGTTTATTCGCCTGACGTTTCGAAATCCGTCGCGGACTCATCCTCAGACACATACCCACAGAACAGTAGCAGAAACAGTTTGTGCGCGCACAAATTTTTGCCGTAAGATTTAAACGTACAGAAAAATCAATAAATTCCTTGAGTGCGTGCTGATTCGTTGCGTCAGCAATGACCATGTAGCCCTGTGGTTTTGGCATAGGATGATGTAGCGGCCTT